GACAGAGTAGAAGTAACAAAAATTGGGGAGGCGAGGGTACAATTAGACTTGGGTTGTCGATAGTAGGAGCTTTAGCCGGGGGAAGCGGCGGCATGTCTGACAATGCTAGGAAGCAGCAACAATTAAAGTGATAAATGTTAGCTTAACTAAGAAAGCTAGAAAAGCCCATTAAATAAAATTTATAATGACAACTGTACGCAACTCTATTGGCTATTAAACAAAAAGACTTCAGCAGAACCGAAATTCGTGAGCACCCAAGAAGCTACATAGTCAAGCATGTCACCGCACCAGTATCGCATCATCGTATTTCAGCCAATTCTTGGCGGCAATTCGCGCAGTGGAGGAGAATTTTAAAGTATCTTAAATTATATTCGGCAAATCCAGTAAATTACACTAAAATATCTTGACAGTACATTTGAATTCACCAACCGTCTTTTTGGCGCATTCAAAGGTAGCACAAACGGATTTAGAATTGTCGAAAAGGGTCCACTCAGTGTCATCTGGCGACTTTCAGTTACTTGCGCTCAATCACTTGCGGATGTGGAGTAAATGTCACAAATGGAACAATGCACAGCCCTCACCAGTTCTGCTGACTGGGCAGTTGGGAAAGAGAGGTGACTCCACTTCATTTGAGACCACACCAACGGTGCCTCAACTCCAAGATATGGTCCCTGCACCACCTACCATCCCAAGCGGTGATTCATGCACCCATCCCTATATACATTCATTCGTTAATTCCCTTGAATCTGTTGTATTTCTATTTGTTCTTGAATACCTTCCCTCCTTCCTATTGGTGGTGCACGCCTTGGCCATTCGTGTATGCGGAATCCAGTCATCTACTTTTCCATCCACTCCTAATCCAGCTAATCAGTCTCTCCACTTTCCACCTATTCATTCATCCATTTTGGATTTGTGCAACTATCAAGTCTTTCTGGATCTATGTATGCATATACGTCCATGTAGTTGCATGCATATTATTTTTAATGCACCCCCTCTTCAGTCATCCATTCCAATCTGCTTCAAGGCAATCTGGACACCACTTTCTCGCTTCTGCACGAAATCGCGTACAAATCTTGTACATATGCAGCAGTAGAATCTGTTTGAAAAGGAAGTATGCACTGAATAATATTACTATCAATTCCATCATGCTCTTCTCTCACAAACGACTTTCACCCATTCTCTCATGTCCCAGGCAAGCTGGAGCGCCATATATGCCAATTCATCTTGCACGCTAAGGCGCCCAGATGAATAGTGGATGAAAAGGCTGTTCCACCCATTTATAAAAATATGGTGATCTTAGCAATGTCTACGTGATTGCCTTCAGCGGAAGGAAAGGCGATGGTAGTAGAAGGGGCGAAATAGGCGAGGAAATGCGGATAGTGTAATTTACCCGATGTCGTCAACTGGCTTGGGACGTGATTCATGCCAACGATTTTCCATGTAACACTAAAGCCATGTCGAATTTTGTGGCAGGCATCTTCTTTCCAACCAAGATTGCAATGGCAGACATGGTCGCAGAGATGGCAGCTTTCAAATTGGCGAACGAACTTTATTAATTTAAGACAATGAATTCAAGGCTCTACAATGCAGTGACCACTTTCCAACGCCTTATGCAGACCGCACCAGTCGGATAGTTCGTAAAACACTGCATAGGATACGTAGATAACACTTCGCCTTATGAAGGGTAACATCATAACACCGCACATGATGGGCGTTACACATTGATTCCTCACTACCAAAGGAGGAATTTGGATGAAGAGGGGACAATTGGTGGCCGCCATGGGACATCCCCTGAAAATGGTAAACTGGACTCTTCCATTAGCCTGGACACACTGCATTCTGCCAGCGATGAGGCAGTCATTCCAAACACGTCTTCTCTCACTGGTAGAAACTAGTACCTCCTCAGGTCTGATACGTAAGAGCAGTCCTGGCATGGCACTCGGCAGCAGTATCTCATCTGCACACATAAATTCACTGAGAAAGAAGGTGCATAAGGATGTTGCGTTTATTGAAAGATCCGCCTAGTCTACTCCTGTCGTTAGG